TACTGGACTTTAGACAATCCGTTGTTCACGGTTATTCAGAAGTCTATGAAAGCGCATACCTGATCAGTAACCGGCAGTGCATTCACAGCAAGAATTCGATCTCCCACTTTGAGTTTCTCCGCAGCCGCTGAGCCCGGTTGCAATGAGGTGACTAGAATGCCTCGGGACCGCTTACCAATGCCCATTCCAAGCTGCTGATCAGGAATCTGAATGAAGAAAGACATTTAAAACTATTCTGATACAGTATGAATAATCATGCTCTTCCGCGCAATAACACTATCTTGCTACACCTTTCGAAGCAACAACTGTAGACTATATGACTAGAATTTCTCATATCTTCAAAAAATACTCGAATGCAAAAATGGATGGAACTGTTGCAAGTGCACGTGAAATTGGCAAAACGGCCACATGTACACCTCTTAATCTTTATGGTAACTTGAAGAGCTGCCACAGTGTAGACTAATCAGTTAACCCCAAAATAGTGTGCTGATAGAGAAGCAGTGTAACAGTGATTCACATTTCATCATAGCAGAAAGTCTTACTGATCAAGCCAGCGCTCGGCTAAAATGGCTTTCAAGTGTAAAGTGCAAAGCAAATCTAAGAGCTCTGACAGCACCTTTTTCAACTCCAGTAACAAAGTGTCACTTCCTTCTTCTTTGAGATCTTTAAGCAACTCCATTCCTTGTGGATGTCGTTCTTCTTCTTGTAAACTGCGCTGAAAAAATACGAAGGGTTGAACTCGCGTAAAAAGCTTATGATGACTGACTTGATCGGTACCACTACTTGGCTCTTCGGTGACGGGCGACAAATGTACCTCTGCCTCAGCTACGGCTTCTCCTTCTGGAGAAGTATGGGTGATGATCGGTCGAAGTGGAGGAGCCGGTGAAGTAACTTCTTTCCTTTCCGATGTCGCTGCTGATGTACGTGAGTCGTCAGACTAAATATATCATCTTATATACAAAGCTAAATGTCTTTTTGGCTGTCTGCATGTCCTTCGCCTGTGTGCAGCATGTGTTCTGAACAAAAAATTCCCTTGAATGGAACGATCCGGACCAAACTTGGCACACACATACTTTAGGGGGGG